CATCAGTGACAAGTTTATAAAGTGTGTTAGTGTTAAGTTTCTGACTACTAAAGCTTGATTGTGTGTTGGATATCTGAATACCTTAAATTTAACTCTCTCTAGATCATCTTCACTTACTTGCTATCTTAAAAGTGCGTCCTTCTGGGGGGGAGGCTAGTGTGATCTGTTGTAGATACTCATTCTAATATGAGGATTGTACTAATATTTTTTTTCCTTTCATTAGGAGCAGTACACTAATTCTGGTGAGTCCTAATCCATCGCTTGCCACAAAGCCTTCATTAATTCCTTGGAGTGGCCTAATCTATATTCATTGTGATAACGGACAAAAGGTACGTGGCTTACTTGAGAGTTGAGGTTGAAATTGTTTATTTTACTCTGTTGGATAAGGTCTCGTAACGTTGCTAACACCTCTTACGTATGAGACAGCAGTTTCATTATTCTTTCTAATTTGTAAAGTTCTCTCTTAAGAAAAAAAAGTGTCCTGGGATAGAGTCAGTTTTCTTCCTAGCAGCTGGTATAGTGCTGTGTTTTGGATTTAGGATGAGCATAATGTTGATAACACACTGATATTTTAGTTGTTGCCAAGCAGTCAAGGACTTCTCAGCTTCCTTGTACTGGCCTACCAATGAGAAAGTGGGGGGCACCCAGGAAGCTGGGAGGGGACAGAGCCCAGGACAGCTGACCCAAACTGGTCAAAGGGATATTGCATACTGTATGGCGTCATGCTCAGTATATAAACCAGGGGAAGTTGGCCAGGGGGTGCTGTGGCTCGGGAACTGCTTGGGTATTGGTCAGCAGGTGGTGAGCAATTGTGCTGTGCATCAGCATCACTTGTTGTTTTTTGTTGTTATTATTATTAATCGTCATCTTAATGATAATTCTCTTCCTTTTCTGTCCTATTAAACTGTGTTTATCTCAACCCACAAGTCTTACTTTTTTCGGTTCTCTTCCCCTGTCCCGTTGCGGGGGGGAATGAGCGAATGGCTGTGTGGGTGTTTTAGCTGCCTGCTGGGTTAAACCACAACACATATTTAAGATGCTGTTTTGCAAACTGAGATTCTTAATTCATTAATCTTTGAAGACATACTATGATGTGAACATTTAGACTGAATTGCCAACAAAATTGCATCCACCACTGCCTTAGCAGCATTTTCTAGAAAAGCTAAATATATATATGTACACATGAATATATAAAAGTAGTCTATATAATATATTAAAATCAAAGAAGTTAAAGGACGTTCTTGAACAAGTCACCACATCTCCTTTTGAGCTCACTTAAGGTAAACTTAAGCTTCTGGCTGACCAGTCTGTGATAAAGACTGTCTAGAACAGTTTCTTGCTCTTTATGCATTTTAATCCAGGACTTTTCCCTTATTAAATTAAGGCATATACATAAAATTTCTGAAGCCAACAATTTCTTCTTTCATCAGTGTAAAAAGACTCCTTGGTAATTGCCTCCAAAGAAATAAACACCTAGCTTTTTTTTATATTTTTACAACCAGTATGTATTTTGGGTAACTTGTAACAATGCATGGAGAGAGAAATAAAAGACACTGAAAGGATAAAACATCATATCTGGCTACTTTCCTTCTTGATGGAGGAGGTGAGGTATGATATAGAATTGGAAACTGCCTTAAAAAAAGGCCAAACAAACAGGGAAGTTGTTGAAAAGAATGAGTTGGGAAGGAAATGGAGACTGTGCACATAGTTAACTATCTTATGTCCTAAAATACAGGAAAAGGATTTAAGAGAAGAAACCTACTAAGACAACATTAAACATTGTAGCAAAAACAATCAAACTGCAAGAGATCTGGTAGTTGATGATGCTTTTGCCCTTTATTTGCTACCTATCCAATTAAGCAAAAAGCATGCTAAGATTTTACTAGCATTACCTGAAGTTTTTTGGAAGTGCTAATTACGTAGCAGAAGCGAACACAAAGCTTGTTCTGTGTGAGGCAGCCCTGTTCCCGTTCTCTGTGGGCAGAGAGTATTGTAGCAGTTGTCAATTAAATTTAACTAGTTTACATTATTAGTCCTATTGAATTAAAACATCTAGATGGGAAAATTTACTGAAAATTTGCTGTTCTCCTAAATTAAACTTGTCCTAAAATCTTTAAACTTTGTGAACTGAAGTTAGAGAAGACCTGGTGATTTAATGTGTGCAACTCTTTCTCTGTTGGAATGTAAAGCTGAACACCGTGAGCTCTTACAGCTCAAGGAAATAGAGCTAAATAGTTTGACTTGTTAATATATCAACATTTGTTATTTAAATTTCTTTTTTTTTTCCTCCAAATTATGCAAAAGTTTATTAAAGTGCAGATTCGGGAGGCAGTCGCACAGAGTGTGTCTGGAGCAGACTTTCCATCTAGAAGACGTGCTATATTTACTCCACAGTCTGAAAGTCCTACCGTTCATGTGGCAAAACCTCTTTCAGTGCTCCCTTTAACAAAAATGGAAATAAAGAACAGAACCATTGTTTTTCCTAAAACAAGACCTGGCCAAAGCTCAGGTATTATTGCTTACTTAGTAAATGCAACATCTGTAGTATCTTGTTATCTTGTGCTCAGAGTTTTTGTTTACTCTATTGCCTGTTTGGGAACTTGAATGCCTTGACTTTGTTTTTGTTCTTTTAGTCTAATAAGTGTGATTGACCAGTTCCCCCCTTCTGACTTCAGTTTGAAATGTAATTCCTTGTGATGAAACTCTTTCAGAAGTCCCCCCCCTTTTTTTTCCCTTGCGCAGTATAGCCACAGTTTTTCCCACAGATAGGTTTGCATACAGACAGGTAAGTTGCCATTTTTTTAAAACGACTGTGATGAATGCAACCATACTGTGCCTGAGCAAAGAGGACACTATAAGGTTACTGCATTTTGTTGAAGCTCTTTTGGGTCAATGCGCTTTTGCAGTAGACCCATTCTCCTCCTCTGTGTTTGTGTCCATAAGATGCAAGATAAATCTATCTGCATGTAGCAGAGAAATAAATGTTCTTCCTTAAGACGATAGGAATGTCAGCTATGAGTCTGGCTATCCTTGTCCTGTACTTAATGATTGAGGTGGACACCGATAATAGAGTCTCAAATCCTCAGTCTGTACTTTTAATTCCAGCAATGCTTAAAATTCTCCAGATTACTGTATGAAACTGTCATTCTGTTATCTAGATACCAGATTTTTTTGGTAGTGCTTAATTTTCTAGGTAAAGAGGATTTTTTTTTTTTTAAATGACTCACTGATGCTACTTTTTTATTTAACAGACTTTTGGAACTTTCAAGGCCTAATTTATCAATTACATCTGGGGCTTTTTGGTACACTTAGGAAAGAGGAGTATAGTATAATACTCTACTATTTTTATAAATGTCCCATATAATATATATGCAGCTAAACTTTCTGAAGTGCTACGCTAAACTGAGATGATCTTACAAGTGTCCTGTTGTTTCTTGGCAAGAGGCACATTTCAAGGTGTGAACTATGCATATTGATACTGTCAAAGTTGGGATTTTCTGATGATGTGAGTTGTTCTTTCTGCATGTCAAGCATAAGCTTTTTGTTGAGATTTCATATATATACACACACAAATTATATATATATACACACACACACACACACAGAGTAACAAATCCATACTAGGATGAGAACAGATTTTATTTGCTGCAACTTTATTTGATTGGTCCTAAACTATAATGCTGTCAGTGTTTTTTCCATGAACAGCCAAATAATATCTTGGGAGGGAGTTGGGTATCTTATGGGTTTTTTGGGGTATTTTCTTGTACGCTGGTATGTGAAGGTATCTGCCAAAAATCTGAGTGCAATAAACTGAGACAGCTGGAGGTGACTTAGATATCTCTGCTATTTGTCATGTCCTGTATTTGTAAGAAGCTAACTTCCTACTACCGGTAATACTTTCACATATTACCACATGATATGCTTCAGGTTCTTAGAGGATTATCTATTATTGTTTTAGGGTTACTGAGAGTGAGATTTAGGTCTCACTTTGTTTCTTGTAAGCATCTTCAATACGATTCTTCAGTAGAAAACTTTGCATCAAATTTCTTTTGTATAACCTTTCAAGAATTTTATGACTGTGCTTTGTTTGAGTCTTCTCTTGGAGTTGGCACCATGAGAACTGTTTCCCTTAAACTTCCTGTGTCTTGAAACATAGTTTCTGCTTAAACTCTTTCCACTAATGATACTTGAACAAAGACATTTAATATACTACTCTGATATTTCTCTTCTAGAGAGTTACCTGGAAATGGAGAATAAAGGGGATCAAAATCTGAAGTGGCATTTGTCATCTTTTGCACCACCTTATGTTAAAGTGAGTGACTGCTAGCATTGGCAGTTTTATGCAAATCTCTTGGTTGTTTTCCTTCTCTCTTCCTGCTGCTCTCTCCTTTCTCCCTCCATCCTCTTCAGAAATAATATATATCTGAGCAAGAGCTCAGTTACAAAGTTTCTTCTTGTCTATGTCAGGGAAATGTTTTACTCCTTTTCTCGTCTCTTATTTGCTCCCTGACTGTGAATCAATCAGTGCTCTGTGGGACAATTTCTGATTCACTTACTGGCTTGTAGAGTTTGCTTGTGCTCCTCTGGTATCATCATCCAGATTCATTAAGTAGTCAAGCACACATGAAAGACATGTGTCCCTTTTGGCTCCAGAATGCTAGACTTGCCTTGTTTTGAGACTTATGCTGCTGGAATTAAGCTGTACATAGTAGCTCTGTAGGTAATCTAAGTTAGGTCAAGGATATTTGAATTACACTGCTGTCATCTATGCAATTACTGTAGCTGTACCATTGATATTTGTAAATACTTCCCTATTTTTTTGATAGTCTGAAATGCTGGGATGGTCACTTTGATTTTATGCTAGAATTATTATGGTCTGTTATCATGAAACGATGAAAAATGGTTATGTAGCACTCTTAGCTGTAGACCAGAAGATTGAGTATGGTGTGTTCCAGCCAGCGCACCACCTCTAAACTGGAAGTCAGTAGTCATGGGGACTGCATACATGTTGTAGTAGTTTGCTTTTAGGGAGTCAGTATTATTTGTTCACTTGAAAGCAGCTTCATTTGGTATATTTTCTTCAGTCCTTTACAAGGGTGGTGTGTGGGTTTTTTTTCCCTTCTGAATCTGACTCGTAACTTTATTTGCAGGATGTGGATGGAACTGGGTGTGTTTATAGGGGTTCTTACTCCGCTTTTAGATGTTCCAGTGTTTCTGGTACTCTGGAGGCTCACGGAGAAGAGAAGGTAAACTGACATTTATAAATATTTCAAGCATATTAGTGAATCTCAGTTGTAAACTAGGATCTTACATGATAAATTTTCTGAAATAACAGTTGAATTTTTGAAGCTGGTCATACTTTATCTAATAATGATAAAATGGTGGCCTACCAGAACTGTATCCTGGGGTGTATCAGGTAGTCAGTATCTACTTACCACAGCTGTTATAATGTCAGCTGAGTTGATTCTAAGAATTCATGCAATCTGTAGTTCGACTTTGACATGGTGGTGTTTTTCTGTGTTGTGGTTGTTTTTTTTTTTGAAAGATAAATAACTCTAGAACAGAAAATTACTTTTAAATGCTTTGTAAAAATCCACAAGAAAATCACAAATAATACTGGGTTCTTACAAAACTGGTATGAGAACCAGTTTCGCTTCCTTAGAATCAGTCTTGTCATACTTGTTCAAGAGTAGTTCTCTGTTCCTAAAGTTGATTTCATTCGGCTTACAGTTTCATGTCCTGGCCAGTAGAGGGTTTCATAACCACAGCTATGAAGCACATCCAAGGACATATTGAATGGGTTTCTATGGGGATTTTGTTCCTCACCACCTCCCTCAATGCTACTTCAAGTCTGTCTGTTCATCTTCATGGATTTTTATGGCATTCCTTAACTACATTATTTCTATGATGATGCAATTTGTAATCTATTTACAAGACAGAAACTTTCTGTTGTCCAGTTTCATAGTTATTTCATACTATTGGAAACTATTATTTGAATTTAAACAATTGTCTTTGCCTTAGCCATCCTAGTTCAGGCCTGTTTGAATAACGTTTATATTATTGGCATGTCAGGCTGTTGGCTGGAGCTGATAAGGTATGGTGCTATTGTGATTTGCTGTTTTTTGCAGTGGGTATGATAATATTTGGCTAACTAGATATAGCTGTAGTGATCTAATCTGCTGCTGCCCTTCTCTTTCTTCCTTCAACTCTGAAAACAATGCAAGTTTACTCTTGAATTAATCTGGTACAGCACTATACGGAGACAAGCCTTTGTTACATAGGCAACCTTTAGGGATGATCAAATGCATAGCCTGCAAGCTGGTTTAAATTTCAGGCCGCCTAGTAATTGTAGCATAGTGTGCTTATAGACTTGGAGTGGGAGGAGTGCAGTTGTCCACAGCTTAGCTGACAGATGAAGGAAAATATTGCTGTCTTTCAGCTATGTGTATTTCCCATCTTGGTCCCCTTCTCCCCCATTTTACTAATGGAAATGATTGTGCAAGCACTTGCTGACTTTGCTTAAAGCAGATTAGAACAAATTTTGTTCGAGATTGCTTGCACAACCTATTTCATCAGAACTTTCTTTCTTGTGGGCAAGGGAGGATGAGCTGTATTGTTTTCTGCAAGATCACCTGTGTGTGGAATGTATGTTCTGTCGCGTGTAAATTTTGTGCTGGATTAACTGTAACTTTGAGTAGGTAAAATTGTGAAGATGTATAGATAATTTTAATAAGCTTCTGTAAAATTTTCCTCTTGTTTTGATAGGTTGCTGTAATCTTTTTACCTAGAGATAACGGGGATTACTCCCAGTTCTGGGACCTCGAGTGTCACCCAGTTGAAAAACCTAGTTGGAAACACAAATTAAGATTTCAGCTTTCTGGAGCAGTGAGTATATAAGTGCTGTCCTGAGCACAAATTTTTTATAACATCTTAATTTTACTATACAGTACTCTCTCATATGCACTGGCATATTCTGAAAAAAAATTCTGCTGATATTTTTGTTGGACTATGTTACAAAAATTTTGTTTTGTTACAAATTTTTGTTTTATTTTACAAAAATACCTTTTTCATCTTGCTTATGTGATAATGCATTATCTTTTGCCATTTAAGTTGTAAAATTTTATTTTGCTCGGAGAAAGCAGAGACAAACTTACCTTCTGTAGGAATTATTTCTGTAGATGTACATTTGTGTTTCAGACAGTAAGTGGATTGGTTTTACTTTTGTAAATAGATAAAAAAGTAGTAACTGACCTTCGCTATTATCTGTAACAAAATGCACTATTGGAATTTTCAAATATCCATATTGGAGATATGGATGTGTGTCTGATAGAATCTGAGTATTTTATTGGAGTAGCAACGTAGGTGAGGGTGACTTTTGAGATTTGTACATGGGAGTGATTGGATTTGAGCTCTCCTTTGCTCCCCTGTTGTTCCTCAGCTCTAATTTTATGGTAATGCTTGGAAGGAGGAGTTTGGGAATTAGAGCTGATTTTCTGTGCTCCTTATCTTGCTTTTCATCCCTACCTCACCATCCATAGAAGAGGAGCCTACATAACAGATAATCTATTACTGTTAGGAAGAATTAATTCTAATTATTCATTAAATGAGCTGAATGTGAAGAACTTTCTAAGTTCAATATTGCGTGATTGCTATATATGCTTTGCTGTCTTCTCCAGGGAGTTTGACTTGATTTTTCTAAGGAGCCCAGATAAAGATTTGGGATCTTTCTTTAGAGTACCAAGCCTGTTTCAGTAGTAGGAACCTTACTTACCCTTCTTGCTGGGGTACATTACCTTTTCTTTTGTAGGATCCTTGTTCTTCTCAGTGTTGGAAAGGGGACTCTTCCAATTGTATTGAAAAGGGGACTTGTTTAAAAAGTATATGTATATGACTTCTAATTTTGGCATGAAGAATGAGACCTGTATAATGTTTGGTTTGGGAGGGGTTTTTTTATTCAGCTTTCATCTAATTCTTTGAAAGTAATTTTCCTTAAAATGAGGAAAATGTCTATGTCATTTGTCTGTTTAAAGCTAGTTGAAATTGAGACAAGATGAATTCTTTGTCAGAGATCTGGAGTTTTGAAGAATTCTCTTAAAATGTTCCCAGTTGTCAGAGTTGTGTAAATCTTTGAGAGGCACAACTTGATACTAATGTTTTTGAACTACCATGTCAGGTTTGTTCCTCTTGATTTTTTTCAAAGCTGTTAACAATTAGATCTTCCCAGTATCTCTTTGTCCATATGGGAAAAATTTTGTAGAAAATACTTGAAATGTGTCATGATGATTTTGAAAAAAGAGTTGAAAGGGAAATACTTTGTTTATCAACTAGGTAAGGAACTATACATCTGTTTGGAAGAGGGGTCAACACAGAACCTTTACTTAGATTGTTGCAGCTCTTTAATCAGATCCACTTTTAGTCGAGAAGACAAGTCAATTTATTATGTCCTAGGGATCAAGTTTAGATTGTGTTACTACAACTTTGAAGAGGACTTGGATCCTGCTGGCTTTGCTGAGGCAGAGGGCTATGGCTCTGGTTAATGTGACTTTTGATAGAATGAAGTGGGAAGACTGTCATTCAGAGTGACTGAGAGGTATTTATTTATAGCACCACTTCAAAAGAAAGGAAAAATTCGGAAAGAGAAAGAACTAAAAGAATGAAGTGAAGTTAGGAAAATCAGTGGTGCTTACCATCTTCATTTTTTCTTGAAAAACCAATTAACTGTGACTTTGATTATGCTCTGTGTGCGTTTGCAGTCCCCACCATGGGAAACCATAGTCAGGACCTCAGCAGATCATGTCTCCAAACCTGATCCCGGAGACAAAGAAAGGGGGGATTCTGCATGTGCTTTGTTGCCCCAATCTCTCAATACTGGCCATTCAAACTTAGTTTTTTCTTTTCCTGAGAAACATTTGTTAGGCTGCTATCAGCTATTGTTGTAAGATCATTGAGCTAAGAATATCATCATTGTGCACAAAAGTCTTGGGTTGATATTTTGGTCTAATTACTGGTCTCTTCTGGATGAAACAGGGAGCTAGCAAGAACCTGCTGGAAGGCTGAGGCAGCATGTATGTTCTGATTGCTCCTTTAGCATGTAGAAAGTTGAGGACTGCATAAAGAATCCCTGCTGTTGTTTGAAGATAGTAACAAATGTTAAGTGCATACCATTTTTGATCTACATGGTTTATGTACTTTAGCTGTGTAACTATGTAACTTTTTAATGTTACATTTTGCAACAAACTGAGCTGAGTTTCTTAATACTTTAAACATATTGCTTACTAAGGATCCTGATTTTAGCTATTATTATTATTATTATTATCAGCATTACAAAGCTTCATCTTCTTTGGATATCCCAGGAGTAAGAGAAGGAAAAATCTTTTTAAGCTCTGTGAGCAAAATAATTCCAATTTTATAGCTAAACAGATTTCTGTGCTCCTGAGGCTGCTTTGGAACAACAGCACTCAATTGTAACCATTTGGACAGTGTTAACATACTGCTGTCATTTGAATCAGGAAAAGTCAGTAGGGCCTGTAGTAAAGCATGCAGTACTTCAGATGCCCTTATAAAGACTGAGGAACCTTCTGATCGTTTCCCATAATGTGCCTTATTCTCATGCAGCAATCTTGCCTTATTGATAAATTAGAATTGGAATGATAATACTGAGGCATGACACCCATAATTTTTCACTACATGGAAAATTAAAAGCTCTTGAAACAAGACACATCTACAGATCCTTTCTTGTCTTTATGTACTGGGTTCTACTGTGGTTCATGGGTTATTTGCAACTGCAAAACATTCTTCAATTTTTTTTTTTTTGGCTGCTGCCATTCCTGACAGACTGATTAGCAGCTCTTTCAATAGAAGAAATGAATGTCTAAAAGACAAGTTTGTCATAGCAGCTCTATCGAAGATGAATCTATTTTTTTTAATCTTCCCTGTGTGAGGAAGTCAACTGCTTGTCTAAAATGTCAGCACCGTTTCAAAAATTGAGATAATGTTGTATGGTCATAAGTGTAGGAGGTTATTTTGGCTCTTTGACTTTGTTCAAGGTCTTGTGACCCAACGGGCTCCAAACAGTATCTGGCTAGATTTGTTAAACAATGCAGAATTTGAAATTGGCTGTTTGGTGAAGTGTTCCCTTAGGATGATCTGGTCTCCTTGTGTTAGAGTACACTGAGTGGAGGTCCTGACTGTGGTAAATATTTTGGCCTAATTTCTGCATGTAATGATTACCATATAATGCATTATCAGATTCTGTTTCTCTGGGGAAACCTTTCTTTGAGAAGGATGTATTGTTCACAATACAAAACTGTTACAAAGCTTTTTGCTGTTGTGAGAATTGAAACTATACTGATGACTTACGCCTTCTTTCTGAGCAGTTGTTTAGTTGACTTTGTTGTTCTTGAGGCATATGGGCAGAATATCTGCAGAGGAACTGGTTTTTGTTTTGGCTTTTAGTAAAATCTTCGCTGCTAGCAGCCTTCTTGAAATTCCACCTGCACTGCTAGTTTGTTGTGAGCTGGCTTGTAACAAATAAAGTAGTCATAAGCCACAGAAGCCTGTTAAAGTATTCCTCCTAAATCATTGCTTCTGTCTCAATGATCCACACTCTACTGTTCCTGAAAGATTAGACTTTAAATAAAAAGGATTGGATAAGGGAAATGACTCATGTACTTGAATACTTAAATACTTTTGAATGCAAAGTTTGAAGGCTTCTTTGTTTTTGCCAATAGTGTACTAAAACAGAAAATGAAACTTCAATTGTGAAAGCTTCTGCAAGTGCCCTCACAAAAACTGAGCTTCCAGTTATACCAGAAATGAAGATTTACTCTGAAGCACATACAATTAAAGCCGGGTATGTATGGACAAAACTTGAAACAAGAGTCTGCAACTGGGTAAAAGGGGGAAAAAACCCCAACTGCACAACCAAAGCCTTTTACCATTAGGACAGCTATGTGGTGGAACAGGCTGTGCAGTCTCTGTCCTTGAAAGTTTTTGTGATCTGACTGGACAAAGCCCTGAGCAGCCTGGTCTGACCTCACAGCTGATTCGGATTGGAGCAAGAGGTTGAACTAGAGACCTCCTGAGTCTCTTCTGACCTGAATTATCCTATGGTTCTATGTTAAAGAATAAATAGCTGCAAAAAAAGAGACTTGCCAAACCTCCTAATGGTTTTGTATTGTTCAATCTCCCATGCTTTTTCTTTTCACTTGGGTTTCTAAGTTGCCTAACAATGATTTGCTGTTGTAAATGAACTGGTATCAGCAGTGGAATCTTGTGTATACTTTTTTGTATACTCCCCTTTTGGCAACTCCATAGAACTGTGGAGTCACTTCTCAGAAGACCACTGTACTGCATGTCTTAACCTTGCTGTTCTTCAGTCTTACATTGATTTCTAGTTCTTTTACTATGGGGTGATGTGAATATGGCAGGGGAGTAAAATGTTTTGGTTAAACATGGCTTCTCTGAGAAGAGTCCAGTTCGCTAGTGAAGCATATGGGAGGGGGAAAAATAAGATTGAGAAAGTGTGTATAAGTAAATGTACATATATTTATGCCACAGTGATGCTTTCATTATTCCTTCTGGCTGAAATGTCTTGCCTATAAAATTTAAAGTGAGAGAGTTGATCCCTTCAGGATCTTTCCAATTTTCCTGATTTAGTTTCAGGAAACAGACCTGTTATATGGTCTGGATTGCATTCTTCAAGATAAGTAGGAAATCTTAATATCTTTAAATCCCTTTTTCATTTCAGACAAAATGAGATAATTCGAGGGGTATATGCACCAGAAGACCTGTACACTTTTCCTCCAACTAGAGTTGGGGAATCATGCACGTTAAAGGTCAACTTGCGGAATAATTCCTTTACAACACACTTGGTAAGTTTGACAGACTTTATTTTTAAATGCATTTTTGTAAGTCCTTCCAACAGTTCAACGGCACTGTTTTGTTTTTTTTTTTACTCTTGAGAGAAGATGCATAAGTCTTAGTTAGTTTCTAAAGTCAATATTATTTGAAGAATTTTGTTCTCCTGAAATTTTTCTCTTTTCTTTTGTCTGAGTGAATCACTGAGTGTATTTATAATGTGTTTGCAACTGAAAAATAATAGCTGATAGTTCACATAGATTTGTTATTATCCTGGTTTATTTATTTTTAAACTTAATTAAAATATTGAGATATTAATTTTTCTAACTATGCACAAATCTGGGCATGCTTTATTTTTAAACTCTGGGTCTGTGTAAAGCTGTGTTTGTAAGTGACCTGATTTATCTTAAGCATGCCATGAATTGAATACGATAGGCTGAGATATAGTGCGCTTTTAAGCATTTTGTATTAAATTGCAGCTGAAATTTTTAAGTCCCGGAGAGCCTTTCTACATCAAGCACTCAAAATATTCTCTAAGGTGAGTAATGCATATGCTAACGTTCTCTCCTAACAAAAAAATTAAACAAGTAATTCAGTAAGATAAATATCTTCTCTATATGTACAGTGCTAAAACATAGATATAAATATCCAACATTCTGACTGTCTAGTTAAAGGGGGTTTGTTTGGTTTTTTGTTGTTTTTTTCTTTTTTCTTTTGCTAAGCTGTACTCTGTAATCTTGGTTAGAAGCAGAATGAGCCCACACAGTTATTTCTGCATCTGCCAATTTCTTCCCTGCAAATTGTTTCTAACAGTGCTGCTGCTTTTAATGCTAAGCCTAATGCTTCATTTAACCATTTGGCATGCTGTGCACAATCAAGTCATTCCTTCCATTTATACTTTCTGCACAACAGACCAAGCAAATTGCCTTCATCATGCTTCTAATTTGACAAACCTGCAGAGCTGCATCAAAGATTCTCTGCAAATACAAGGTTTGAGCAGTCAGTGGAATTGCCTGGTCATACCAAGTATTTTAGTGTATTACCTGCATAAAAGGAATTTTCAAGTTGGTTTGGTGATAATCCCTCAAAATAAACGCAGTCATCTTTGGAGTTCATTTCAACAAGTATTTGACAGTCCTATTAGTCATCTCTTCAAGAAGTATAGCATCTCACGTGCTCATCTATAACAGTGGGATTGTTGGGAAGACAGAAATGCAACCATTTCATTAGAAGTCATACAGCATACATTCTCAGTGTTTAAACGGGTCCCCATTTTAAAGACAGGGGAACTAAGGGTATGCAGAACAGAAATTGTGAGCAAAAAGCATAAGTGGAACTAGATACTCTGGCTTCTAATCTAGTTTTGTGTCTGCCAATGATACTTAGCATTTATTGTAAGGACAGGGCTGTGGTGGTGTCAGCCACAAGTATTCAAGGTGTTCTTGAGGCAACTGTTCAGTGCAAAGTGTTGTAACTCCACTTAGGCATGTGCTCCAGTGTTTCTATTTAACTGACATGTCTTTATTAAATATGTCACATCAGACAACACAGAAGGGTGGTTTATGGAGGCAGGTGACCAGGATAAAATCTATACAAATAAAGATGACTGTCTGCAGCTGTACAGCCTCAGACAGATATAGCTAAAGACAGCATGACTTGATTGTCCCTGGAAAAAAAGATGAGTAACATCACTGGAAGACACTTAGATATTTCAAAAATATTCTTGAGGAATACTGTATAAAGCTATTTAGTATATTTTCTGAGAGACATGATAAACTCCTATTGCTCTTATCCAAAGTAAACTTAACAAGTTTAAAATAGTCTACTGTTTCTGTCTAAAAGTTATCAACTGATTATACTGCACCTTCTAATAACATTCTACAACCTTTTTTTCTAGTAACTTTGGCTGTTTTTTCTTAGTCATAAATTTTGGCCTTTCCTAGCTTTTATAAAATGAATTAATCTGAAGTTAACATAGCTCTCTGAAGAAGCTCTCCCATTTAAGAGCATAAAGTCCAGAAAAATGACTTGACTTAAATGCTTTTTAAAAAAAAAACCTGTTAAAAGAACTGCTTTAAATGGCTTTTATTTGAGAACAGCTTCAAGGAGGATTTCAAGAAAGCCAATGTTAACTATTTCCTTCTGAACTAGGTTAACCGGACATCTTAGCAAGTAATGTTCAAAAGAAATTGTATAAGAAAACTATTTGCGGGAACTTGGAATATTAGTCTGAATTAGTAAGAGTGTAAAAACAGAAAGTACCATCTACCCATATTTTTTGGACCGAAACAATGTCATCTGGTAAACATGGTCTGTTGCATGTTCTTCATTTTGATGGCCAAATTTGAAAGCAATCCTCAATAGTCAAGTTTTAAATCTGGATAATGGAATTGCAAGTTTGTATTGGTCTTTAATATCAAGAGTCTGACGGTCAGAGGTTGGTATAGTGCCTGGCCAGTTCTTGTTCAATTGGTTATGTCATCAGAAGTACCAATATGCAGCACTACTGGTTCCTTTACCACGATTTGCTCAGTTGAAAATAGTAATGGGCTTTATCCAAATACAGTTTTGGTTGCAAGACACCCTAGCAAAAACCCCAACAAACTGGAATTTTAATAATCTTCACAAAATATCTTAAAAGCGTATATTTTGTTTTTTAACCAGAGAGATGTCATTCAGCTAATATTGTAAGTCCTGCAAAGAATGGGTGGGAAGGAATTCTGTCTGGATTTTGCATTCAAAAGAGGAGTTCTATTTGTTGACAGAGTAGATTTTTTTTTTACTTTTTTTTTTTACTGCATATTGTACCTTTAATGAGATGACTCTTAAGTGATATAAACACATGTATGAAACATTAAAAAACACTTAATTTTTTAAAACCTTTGGCTAAGTTCTGTGTCTGGAAGGACTACCAGGTTACACCTATCTAAAAAAAGTTTGAAAACAAAGATATTTCTATTGTATTACCTTCAGAAGGCATCTGAAATAAGTTGATTACAGGGTAGTATATATTTCAGATAGTACTAAAAGGTAAAACTGTTTTTTGCTTGACTAATTATTTTTGTTTCCAGTAGCCGCCATTGGGGGTGTCAGGAGTCACTATTCATTGACAATAGATGGGGTTACTATGGCTTCGATGCAGCTTACCCGTATTGTTCCTTTTACACTACCTATTGCTGCTATTGTGTTTAGAGGACTGCAGTATTGGTTTGTCTATGAAGTAGGCTTCAGGCATACCTGACTTCTCAGAAATACCACTTGAAAATGATGCAACAACCTGTAAAGGCCATATAGTATTCATAGGCTGAGTTGCAGGCATAGTGAAAAGTTTGAAGTAAAGTAAGACTTTTTGTTAAGAGAAAAACAGTTAATTGCAGGGGAATTCTGATTGTCCTGACACTATTATTCTTGACTAGTTTCTGGCTACTGTACTTGAGAAAAATTCTCCAGGTTGCTTCATTTCTAAGAACATTTATACTATATAGTAGCCCACAGAGCTGTTGTAGCCAGAGTCTGAATTTTCCTATTTTGTTGGTTGAAGAAAATGAAAATAGCATCTTTCCCTTTGGATTAGGAAGCATGAGAACTCAAGTGTCTTGAGCCTTATCCTGATTGTGAGAATTCAGCTGACTGCTAAGTGATATCTGACTAATTCTGCTTTTAGAGAAGACGGATAATGTGTATAGCACCAACCAAATGGACACCTGAATTTAGACGTCAAATGGGATTGAATGTAGCTGTCATATGTTAAAACACTGTGCTCTGCCTCACTGTCACTGAGGTCATATAGTACATGTTCTGGAAGTTAATATTTGACAGCCAGCTATGTCCATCTCTTTTAAACAGTGATACGTAACTTACTATTAAGTTTTTGACAGTATGACTGGTTGTATTGTTCTTTTTGAGTAAGTGTTAGGGTATGTAAGGAACCTTACATATATTATTTTGGAGATGATGATACAGACTTGTGCATCCCTCCTGACTTTCTACTGAATTTACTTTTTTGTAAAAAAAAAGGTGGTCTGGTTGTGTGCAGCTTCAGACTCTATTCTTACTAAAATTTGTGTTTTATAATGTAATGCATATGTTATACTGATGCTTTTCATATATAAAATGGATTTTTTTTTTAAATAAAGCTGAATAAATATCTTCATATCATATATTATAGATGGATAAAGAGAGAGAGCATGCCATGTTTGTTACACAACACTTGGCAATCAAGTGTGAGACATGTAACCCTGATCTGGTTGTATTCCTTTGCTGTATTCTCAATTGTAGTTCAGTACAACATTAGCACTTTGTTTTTGTATAAAACCAATTAAAAAATACAGTAGCATACCAGTCTTTATTTTTAAAGTGTGTAATTTTAAGTTACTTGATTGACCAGAATCTGTTTAAAAAAAAAAAAATCAAAATACATTTGGTAATGTGACTATTTTAGCACTAAAGATGATACTAAACAAATTAGACTGGGATCAGGCTTATATGTAGGGCTAATATTATGATTCCAAATGTAGGAGAAGGGTAAGAGCACAGACTGATTATGATAGTTTGGATTAGTGTAGGGGAAAGGACTATGAAAAGGTAGGAACAAATTAAGAAAAAGTGGGGAAAATAAGCATGTTCCAGAGGAAGTTGGATAGTACTAAATACTGTTAAGGGGAGAAAATGGAAGCTACTATAAAAGAAAACAAAGCCCCTCTTCCTTCTTTTTCTTACTAAGTGATGCTGTTCAATTTTCCTTATTCTCATATGTGCCTGTTCTTGTTACCTGTCTGTTAGTGCTGGATGTTTCTGTTGGGTGCCGTGGAATCCAATAGGCTGCCACTCAGCATTTCCAGTTTGTTGCTTGTATAGCTTATTTTTAAAACGTTCACTCTAGGCTTTTGAGAATTAAGACAGCCACCCATTACATTTGGTATGTTTTTATGCAATCTGAAAAGAAGAGGAATTAAATAACCTAAAAAGGTGTAATGTAAAATCTTTAAAACACTGGTTGAGGATCGGTATATTGACTTGCAATGATTCAGCAAAATATTTCTTAATGTGGAGGCAATTAGAAGTAATTGAAATTATTTTACTAGGTTCAAATTGGTGGAATTTCAAAAAGAATTGGATATTTTAGTGTACTTATGTGACTTCTGAAGGGAAAAAATGTAGTAACTTTGCTCTAAATATAGTTTATGCACTGTCAATATTATTGCAAAGAGGCAGACCAAACTTACCTAGGTACACTAGCAGCAATAAAGTATTGTAGTACTTTGTATAATCAGAATTTCTCTATCTGGTAGATTGATTTGTTTATTAACAACGAATATGCACATAATTGCCTCTTTACAGATCCCATCATTACATCAATGTGCCAGTCCAGTTCAAGCCAAAGGCAGAAGGAAAATTTGAAAGTTTCTTCATTGTGCTGACAACCAAATATGGCTCGGTTAATATTCGGCTATGTGGTAATGCTATTGCAAAAAAATAGTCAAAACAATTTTGTAACTGTTTATAATCATTAATAACAGTTTATGCCATTCAAAATATTCAGAGATTTGCTACTACATTTCTGTACTAATGTCCTATTTGTTTTGCCCTATGATGCTGCTTTGATGGAAAGTCTTCTGTAAGATGAATTATGGTGCTTGTTTTACAAATCTGTTTTCATAGTAAAAACACTGAGAAATAACATTGTATGTTTTAAAGTTATCATGTTCTAATTTATGTTTCTGCACTTTCTGTTGAAAAGGGAAGTTTTCTATTTTTGCATTTATTAGGAATAGCTAGATACTGATTTATTTTATTTTAAACATTGTAAATACAGAAATAAAATCTATGTGTTAAAAGTTGATTCTATGTGATTTCTATCTTTGGTTAGAGGATTCCTTGCTGTAGGTAAGGGATCAAGCTGCCTACTCTTAGGCAATGCTAATTTGGGAGGGGCTTTGGGGAGCAGGGAAAGGGATTGCAGTACGGAAGCTGACCTGTTAATGCCATGTCTCCATCTGGTAAAGCCGGGACCAGATCAATGATCTGACAATCAGCCTCTAACTTTTTACACAGTTCAGCGGCAGGCATAAGCATTGTTTTTAACTCTAACAATGCGAAAACAGTGTAAATTAAACATAAGCAATACTGCCTTCAGCCCTCCAGAACGATTCGTCTAACCCAGTGTTCTGTCTCTAACAGTGGTGAAAAGATGTTGCTTTGAGAGATGACATAAGCCTGGCTGCTGCCTTTGGTTCACTTTGCTTGTATTTCCTGAGCATCTGCAGTCATGGGATTAGGGATGAGAGGTAGATTCCCACCTGTCCCTTTTTCTTCCTTTTATGAACCTGTTTATGAATTTGTCTGTTCACCTTTTTTGAACCCTTTTGACACCTTGTTTCCACAACTTCATGTGGCAGCAAGCTCTAAAAGCTCAGTGTACCCTTTTACAACAGTTATTTTTTGTGTGCTAAACTGGATTGTTTCTAATTTTGCTGAGTCCAGTTCTTATCTTGTAGGATTCAATGAATAACAGTTCCACAATCAGCTTACCCGTTGTTACCATGTACCTTGGTTGTTACCTTGGTACCCTTTGGCTCTGTCTGCTATTTTATTTCTGTAGCATGGAGCTGTATGTCTCAAGTTGCCTTGAGCTAGAAATGTAGATTTTTGACAGCACAGTTCTGTTATAGCATATGTACATTATTCCTTTCTTCAGGTTGGTAGCAGTGTGAGTGAAATTCGTTTCAATATGACATTGTTTATTTAACTACATTTTCAAATAACAAATTTGAAAAAAAACTGGGAGGAAAAACCTGAAATACCCAGTGCATTGCCTTTGATATGTGCCACTAGTATTATGTTAAAGCATAATAAAGTATACTAAAGCTGCTTTTATTAATAAAACCTTGTTTCTCAGCAATCTGGAAATCAGGAAAGGAAGATTGACTAAAAAAAAAAATAATCAAACTAGACGTGAGAAGACTTGCCATCTCCTTATTCTGCCATCAGCACATAAGCTCTTGTCTGCTAGATACTGTGACCATGTTCCTCTTGCCCTCTCTCTGCCAGAGGTTGCTTGAACATTTCCCTATTTGAGATGTCTGTGTACTTCTGAATATGGAATTGGAAGGGAGGGAATCTTCTGTCTGCTGCCTTACCTCAACAGGCTTGGCTGCTTCATTTGAGAAAGACCTTCACGTCCAAAAGCCTGTGTAGCTTCAGTTTTTGAAGCACAATCAGAAGTCTCTTCCAGAGCTGGAAAAAAGACTGAGCTCAGTTTTACTGTCTTCAAAGCCTTTTCATTTCCTAGCTGAATACCTTCCAGGTACCCTATGTTTTAAAGTTGTCCTTGCTTCTTGCTAGTCTAGAATAATCCTTGTGAGATGCAGGTAGGATGGGCTTCAGGTCATTAGCTCCACCTGTTCTACAGATTCTCTTCTGTTGTTTCCTGTTATGTGTTAATGTAGCTAAAATCTTATTTATTGAAGAGAAGGCTTGTGATTTGTTGTTCATGGAAGTCATGTTCACTATACATTTACTAGTCTAGCAGCTATTCTTGACCATCCACTTAAACCTGACATTTTAATAAGCTCTGCAGTTTAGTCTTACATGCTGAACTTGATGGTTAGTCTTTTCTGAACCAGTTTCTGGAGGAATTGATTAACCTTTACCTTTTTCTCAAGGACCTTGGTTTCTCAGTAGAAATTGTCTTTAGATGACTGTCTGTTAATAAGGAAGCTGGATCACTGAGGAGGAAGGATCAGTATCTGTTAATAAGAGCTATGTGATTTTGTACCTTTTACTATACATTTGGATGGTTTTGGTAGTTGTTTCCACAAGGTTAGATGACAGTACCTCCTGTGGTAACATTCTTCATAACACTGGTTTCGATAAGGATAAAATAACTGTTAAACCACATCCAAAATTTTTGTCAAAGATTGATTGTGATTTTCAATTTATTCCAGATTATTTTACCTATAAATTTCAATCTGGTAGAATTAAACCTTCATGATTTTGATGCTGGACCGGCCTCTGTTCCTTCTGTGTTAATAAGACAAGCCTCTTTACAAAGATACCTTGTTTCTGTCTGTGCCTATGGAGTTGAAACAGCTGTCAGTATTGTCACAGAGATTTTCCCCCTAAGTAGTGGTCTTTGTAAAAGAGCACCTTTGAATTGTAGTAAGAAACACCAATTTTGGATAATTATTTATTTGGTCTAAATTCAGAATTGTCGTGTACTGTTCCTGTGGTAGGCCTACTGTCTAGGACTCTGTTCATGCTTCTGTTGCGGGCTTTTCTTGAATTCTTGAGATGTGAATTACTGGGAGGACTAGTTATGCATTATTTCCTCTGTTGCTATCTGGATTGGACATAAGGGAGGGAAAGGGCACAGTGTGCGCTGCTGTGGATACTCTGTTGAACTGTGCTTGTTTGTGTGTTATGTATAAATGCATAAATATATATATGGGTGAAACACACTTTGAAGAATGTATATGAGCAGATGACCTCTCCTCCTTATCCAAGGGAATCCAGGTGATGCTAAATATTTTGGCATCTATTTGCAGCCCATTTTGCTTGATTCACTTGTAAGAACAATGACTTTTTGCAGCGTGAAGAGGAAGTTACAGGCTGGTAACTCCATGGCCACTCTATGGTGGAGAACATCCCTAGCTGCTGTCCCAGCAGTCGTTTTGGCAGTTCCAATTATATTGCTATACTTGTATTCATAAGACAAATCAAAATGATTCCAGGTGATGTAAGAAGGATAGGTAATCTTCTAGTATTTCTATTCCTTAAGTTCTTGTTTCACAAGTGTTTAACAGAAGTTTCGAATAGTACTACACAATGCATAATTAACCTACCTGCTGAAGAATAAATTGTGCATGACACTTTTTTTTTTTCTCCCTCAATTTAAGTACCCCCATACTATTTTCGTGTGGTTACAATAGTCATTGGATGTATTGGCAATAATTATCATCTCTAGACATGGACAGGTAAAGCAAATTAAGAGAAGATATGCTCTAGTGTGTGCAATGCAAACTTGAAGACTGATTTTTTTCTTTTTTTTGTGAGGCAGAGAAGCTGAGGAAGACGAAAAGAGAACTGCAGTGGAAGCCCAGGTCTTTGACAGATAGCTGATTCATCAGTTCTGGATGAAGTTTTTCCCCAGTAGTGAAGGTGCAAAAGCTGGAGCATAGCCAGTGTATTTTCACTTGAAAAGTGAGAACATCAGTGGGACTTTAAAAGTCTTGAGGAAGTCACTTCAAACTGCTTCCATTCCTGGTCCATAAAATGAGACTGCTTCCTTTCCCCATGGTTGCTTCATTTATGTAGTAAACTTTAGTTGTCGAGACAATCTTGATTTGAGTTGTCCAGTCCTTACTATGAAGGAGCCCTGATCTCTGTCTCTACATCTTTTAGGGATACAGAAAAATAGAACAATTCTCACCAATTCTCAAAGACTGCAGATTTGATTAAGAGTTTAAACTATGATACTTTTGATAAAAGAATCAGAATTAGCTTTGGGTATAATTCTTATGTCATTTTGATCAGTCAGTTTTGAAACTTTTTTTCAGTTTTCTCCGCTGGATGCAATCCTTTGTCTCAGAGTGGGAAGGCTGACTCAAACATCCCAAGCAGACAAACTTAGAACAAAACCCCCAAATGATGTCTCTTTAATTATAGTAATCTTACTTGTTGGTTTTAAGACCACAGAGAAAACTGAGAAATAAATTATTTTTAAAAATTCATTAGGTGTCTAACACTGAGGATGTCTTTGTATCTGCTCAACCTAATTGGGATATTAGTAATCATAATTATTCAACAGCTTTGTAAAGTTTTCACATCATTGACTACAAATGGAGTTATAATACATTCCATACACGTGCTTCAGTGTGTTTTGGAGATTGTTGCCCTGGCATCTGAAACTAATTAGTGTTCAGAAAACCTAGTAAAGGTGCATATCAAGGCCTGACTGTCTAGAAAATTATTTTGATCATATAAAAGGTTAAAATGGTAAAGAGACTTTTGTGAGGGTTTTTTGGTGTATGAAATAAGTTACTGAGAGCAGTGGTGGATTTTTGAAGTAGAGTATTAGAGACTTTGGGGCATTTCTGTGGTAAGAATGCTCGTTAGGTGAAATGCGAGTACATTCTTGCTCCTATGATTTGTGGAAGAGTTGGGGGGGGCTACAGGGCTATCAGAGTTCACTACGAGCTTAGTAGGTAATGTTTGTGAAGTATGTTAGCTTTCTATATTGTAGCATCTTTAGAAATGAGAAGAGGTATTATGGGAACAAAAGTCCTTGGAAGCTAATGAAAGAGTGGGCGTTTGACATAAGATCAGTAGTCACTGGAACTGTAATTGAATATCCTAATTTTTTATTCACAACTACCTTGTTCTAACTCCCCCCCCCAAAAAAAAAACTAGGTAACAGAAGTTCATGTCTTACTGCTTTCATTGTATAGCATAGATGAAGTGTATGCATGTCTTATTTCA